TACCCCTTAAGGATCTGGGTGGAGGAAGTACTGGGGAGTAGCCTCCCATACTTCTGGGATTTCAGGGATGTGGCACTATGCCTAGCTAATGTATGAATGGATAAACAGTATGTGAGATATATATATATATAATACATATATAATATTTTATATATATTATATATATATGTATTATTAAACCTTAAGAAAGAAGGAAATTTTGGTGATACAGCCTGTGAACCTTGAGAAATAAGTCAGTCACAAAAAGAATGTTGCATTCAGAAGGCTAGGCAGGAAGATTCCAAGTTTGAGGCTAGCCTAGAATACTTAGTGAGGCTGTCTGAAAAAAAAAAGACAAATAGGGCCGGGAATTTAGCTCAGTGGTTCCACTGCCTGCACCGCAAGCACAAGGTCCCAAATTTGATCCCTGGCACCAAAAAAAAAAAAAAAAAAAAGACAAATAATGTATGATTCCCCATACGTGAGGTACCTAACATAGTCAAACTCAGAAAAAGTAGCTGCCTAAAAGATAATAGACTTTCAATTCTTCAGGAAATTTTGGAGAACAGATGTACAACAATGTAGATGTACTTTTAACACTACTGGACTGTATACTTAAAAATGATGAAGATGCTAAAATTTATGTTATATGTATTTTACCAAGATTCAACATTTTAAAATAAATTTTTGAAAAAGAAAAGGTACCAATTTTTAAAAAATCAAGCAAAGAACGTATGGTTAGCTATGTAACATAGAATATTTATATTTCACTCTATTAAAGAAATTAAATATCTGCACAGTCAAAATGTATTACAAATTGCACAATGTATTTTTTTTGAAATGACAAACTAAAGTGAAGCAATAATAATCACTTTATTAAACAATAAGTCCCTCCTCCAATAGAAAACAACAAGAACAGAATTATATCTCACCAACATTTATAACCCTGGAAGAGCAGGAATCCTAACAAATGTGGCCATAATTTGCCACAAATTTGTATTCTCACACTTCAACATTAATAAATCAACATTTCTGAAAACAAAACTGTAAAATTTGGCTCCTTCAATTTAGGAAGCACCAAGTTAATGCCTACCATCCTAGTTTCCATTTTTAAAAATATGCTCTTTTTGGGTTGGAGATTTAGCTCAGTGCTGCTGCACCTGTCTCACAAGTGCAAGGTCCTAAGTTTGATCCCCAGTAACAAAAAAAAAGACCTCTTTCTCTTCCAAAATCCCTATCTGTTTAAATTTTTAAGCGTAATACAATAGGAAGTAATAGATTAGCTTAAGTAAAAATGGCTAGTAAACCTCCAAATTAAAATGAACATTTTTTTTCATTTATTGAGTAATAAATTCATTTTTTCATTGGGAAAGACGTTCTGGTGATTATGAAAGATAATAAAACTAAATTCTAATTCTAGTTTATTTTACTATTATATAACTGATGAAAAACATCTTCCAAAGACAAGTAGGAGCACGTTAGCTATTATTAGACAACAAGCATAGCTTACCAGCTTTGTGTTTTTGTGTAAAACTAAACATTGTTAAATTGTTCCTAAGAAGGCTAGGTGAATTTATTTACAATCTCAAAAACATGTAGATAATTAAATGATCTTTGTTGACTAAATAGGAATGGATATTCAGATTATTTATTCTTTATAGGATAAAGAAAAAACTCCTTAATAAGGTCTGACTCTAACTCTTGAAGCCCCAACTCTAATTGTCTTTTTTTTTTTTGGTACCAAGGATCGAACTTGGGTCCTTGCACTTGCAAGGCAGGCGGCAGAACCACTGAGCTAAACAAACCCCTGGCCCCCCACTCTAATTGTGTCAAGACAAACAGGATGTCCTAAGATTCACAGGGCCCCCTTTGACTCAAAGCTCTTCTTGTGACTCTGTGCCTACCCATGAGTCCATCTAGCTGTCAGATATTAGGATGTAACAAGCAAGACAGCTTTGTCTGTCCTCCCAAACTTCACCTACGGACATTATGCTTTTAGTGCACTATATAACTCTTTCTTCACAGAAATCACTGCTGCAGTTTTATATTTGTTTGTATAGTGAGTTGTTTAGTTTAACCTTTTGACCATAAGCTTTCTGTAATTGGTGATGCATAATATTAATCACCATGGGAACCTCCTACGCACAGCAGTGGACACAGCATGCAAATACTTGTAAGTAAATGAACTCACATTAAAGAAATGAATAAATCTTTCTTACCCAAAGTACAGTATATTCCCAGGACAACCTTATAAACCCATTGCTTTTTGAAAAACAAAAGTGATAGCCTTATTTTCATCATGGTCAATCAAACATACAAAATTAAATATCACATGGTTTCTCTTACATGAGAAACACAAAATAGAAATAAAGAGCAAAATAAAAGATAATAGGAAATAGGCAGGCAACTCTTTTGCAAAAGAGACGGAGACCAAGAGATGGAGGAGGGGAAGGAGGAGTAGAAAGAGATAAAAAAAATTCAGATGTGTTATGTACATGTACCAACTCCCCACAATGAAGGTAATTATGTATTGCAAACATGCACAAATAAAATTTTTTTTAAATTTTAGAAGACTACATGGTCATTTTACAAATCTTTTTGATCAAATGTCCTCATTAGTTATCATCTATTTACATGTGCTATTCTAAATAAAATTTTGGTTGTATTTCAAAAACACTTCCTGCCATTAACCTCATTTCTAGAATACTGGCTATTACTGAAGCACCTGGATTTTAGGAACACAAACCTGAAACTCACACACCAACCCAAACTGTTATGTAAATGAGAGAAACATGGTCTGTAACATCTCTGGACAAATTTAACTTTTACCATTAATACCCTGTTACTCGATTATAGTCTTCTTGAGCCCATGATGAATACACTGCAGATGACAGAGAAATAGTTTTCCAACAATCTTTACAAAAAATTAATCTTAAAACACCACTACCAGTCACATATTTTCTGGGTTGCTATCAGTTTATGTATTTGACAAAGGTACACTTTGTTTTCTGTGATAAATGTGTTGTGAAAATTTTACAAAAAAAATTATGTACTGTTCATAAATCAGTTCTTTGCTTTTGTCATTCTGAGCGACTGACATAAAATCTGACTTTCAGTTTCTTCATTTATTAAATCAAATAATGACTCCCACCTCCTAGAATAGTTTTGAGACTTCAACATGAAAATAGGCCTTATTCAAATATGCCCAGGCCCCCTTGCTCCCTCCTTGCTATATAGGAATTCTAATAAGATTCTGCAGAGTAAAATAAGTATTTTAGTAAAAATCATTCCATTTATGTCTTAATAAACACAGATTTTTCAGATTTTCTTTAAATCTTATTAATTTAGGGTCTCAAATAGTACAGTTACTTACATATAGTTATATTTAAAAGTAAAGGGTGCCAATTAATCAAAATGTTGCCTAAGTAAAAGCTACGCTTAATAAACAGACTATCACAACTATATAAACTAATCAAAAGTTAGCAACAGAAATACCTTTAGATTATATAACTTGAAAAAAGGAAAGCAAGGTCCTATCTATCTTCGGTCATAAATAAATAGAAATTTAAAAATACAAAATGGGGAAAGCCAGGAAATGATAAATTGGCAAAAGCTAGAACTCTTGAATTTTTACATTCACTTACATACCAGAGATCTGAAATTTTATTGAAATTCAATAAAGAAGAACCAAAATGGAAAGGGGGTAAAACCAAAAGCAAAGTTGTACAGTTAACTGAGAACCAATAAAGTCCTCAGGCTTTTTTTGTTTTTAAAGAGAAAATGCCCACTGCCCGGATACAGTAAAGATCAGGCAGCAAATTCTGCTCTAAGAGAATCCCCGTCTGGTAGCCAGGTTTTGTCAAGCAAATTGAGAATTTTCTACCTTCCCCCTTTCTATCTAATTACAGAAATTTACAGAAACCATTTTGTCCATACACACACATTTTCTTGGTCATTCTGTCCTCACCAAACCCCCTTTCTCAAAAATCCTCCTGTATTATGACACAATAGTAAGAGATATAGACTGCTGGTTTTCTTTTAGAATGAATGACAAATTTAAAAAAGGAAGACCTTTCCTCTGTAAAGGTGCACTATTATACAGACAATAATAATTTCTGCATTAAGTAATACTATAATAGACATTCCCTACAGGAACTTAATGTATCAACAATAAAGTAACTATAGTAGTGTTAAATATATATGCCAGATCTGAACAATCCACATAAATGCTGGGAAATATAAATCTCAAAAAAATTTTGGGACTCTTCTTTTGGAAGTGTCTTCCGAGACTATGGCATATTTTATTCCACTAAATTCCACAAATAAGACACTTTGGTAGGCATGGGAATCCCTTAAGTATGTGTCTATGGCACTCATTTTATAAGAAAATAAGATTAATGAATCATAAATGATTCTACAATGTTAAAAATTCATACACTGAGCACTTTTGCAGAGGTTGTTACATTTCTGTGAGCCTTTTTCATAACATGTTCATGAGTGATCTTGCTTTATGTGTATTTTTGTTTAAAAACAACATCATGCCCTGGGGTCTACTTTGAAAAGCAAAATTCACCAACAAAAAAGTGCAAAAAACAGAAATAACACATGGCACCCAACAGATTATAAAACAGACAGTATGTGAGGTGAAACAAGACTGCAAAATGTTGCTTTGTTCAGTTTCAGCTGGGAATTTGGGCATGAGGCAAATCAAATTTTTTACCACTCTGTACAACCATGAAAGACACAAAGTGCTTCAAGTACTGATGTAGAAATTGCAAATAACTGTAATACATAAATGAATCAGCAAATACAGAAGCTACAAATAATGAGCAAGAAGTGTATATGAGTCAAAAATTTCAGTGAAATCTCTGATTTGATTGCCACCAAAAGCTACAGATCTGAGAAATCCTAATACTGTTCAGTTAGGTACAAACTTAAAAGTTTAGGACAAGAATGCTTCAACAAGTAAGCTGTCTGGGACTTTCACAAATGGGTATTTTTTTTAAAACATTACTTCCTACCTGATATATTCTAAAAGGGATATAACGAAATCCATTTTCTTCTGCAGGATATTCCATGAGTTTACGATTGATGGCCCAAAACTGGTCAAATCTGTCTGAAATGATACAAATTATTTATTATTAAAGAGGAATACTATAATAAGACATGAAAGTTTAAAAAAAAATCCTACCAGATGCTTCTGAAAAGACATAATGAACACAGTACTTTTTCTTTACGCTTGGGTGGGTGTGTGTGGGGTAGTAGGGGTTGGAACTAGAGCCTCATGCATACTAGACAAGCATTCTAACACTGAGCTACATCTCCAGTCAATTTCCTTTCCTTTCCTTTTGTTGAAAGTGAGTCTCACAAAATAGTATGATACTGGCAAAAGAACAGACCTGAGGATTAATGGAACAGACTAGAAGATGCAGAAACAACTCCAGACATACTCAACCACCTTATCTTTAAAAAGGAGCCAAACACCTTCACTGGAAGAAAGATAGCCTCTTTAATAAATGGTGCTGGAAAAATTGACTTTCCACATGCCAAAGATTAAAACTAGACCCATATCTTTTACGACGTACTAACCTAAAATTGAAATGGATCAAAGATCTAAATATTAAAACAGAAACACTAAATCTGCTGGAAGAGAAAATAGGTAGAATGCTTCAGGACACAGGAGTAGGCAAAGACTTCATGACCAAAACCCAGACCGCACAGGAAATACTACAAAGAATCAATAACTGGGACCTCATCTTATTAAAAAGCTTTTGCACAGCAAGAGAAACCACCAACAGAGTAAAGAGACAACCCACAGCGTGGGAAAATTTTTTTTATCAGCTATTCAGTTAAAGGACTATTATCTAGAATATATAAAGAACTAAAGCAAATCAGATCTCCAAATTTAAAGACCCATTGCAAAAATGGGTATATGAGGGCTGGAGATTTAGCTCAGTGGCACCACACCTGCCTCACAAATGCAAGGTCCTGAGTTCGATCCCCAGTACTGAAAAATAAATAATTTTTTAAAAAGGGGCAACTGAAATAAAAAGATACTTCTCAGATAAAGAATTAGAAACAGGAAATAAATATATGAAAAAATGTTCAACATCACTGTTCATTTGAGAGATGCAAATTAAAACAATGCTGAGATCCTACCTCACTCCGGGAAGAATGGCTGCTATCAAGAAATCATCCAATAACAAATGCTAGAGGCGCTGGGGGTAAAAAGGAATCCTTCTCCACTGCTAGTGTGAATGAAGGCTGGTGCAACTACTGTGGAAATCAGTGTGGAGATTTCTCAAAAAACTAAAACTAGAGGTTCCATTTGACCCAGGTATAACTCTTCTTGGTATCTTCCCAAAAGAACTAAAAGCATCATAACACAGCGATATATGCACACCCGTGTTTATAGCAGCACAGTCTGTAAGAGCTAAATCCTGGAAACAGCCCAAATGTGCATCAACTGACAAGTGGATGAAGAAGATGTGGGGTTTTTTTATACAATGGAGAACTACTCTGCCATATAGGAGGATGCGCTTCAGACATTTATAGTTAAGTGGATGGACCTTGAGACCACATGTTTAAGTGAAAAAAATCAGACACACATGTTTAAGTACTGAAGTTTCTCTGCTGTGAGAAAACTAAAGTGGAAATAAGGACTAAAATATATAACATATTGGGAAAGGGGAAGAAAATGTTCAAATGGGAAGGGAAACAAGAGAGGATGGAAGAAGAAAGGAAGGAAGGGACAAGAAAAAAGGTGAAGCAGAAAAAGCATTTGACAAAATCCAACATACGTTTATGATAAAAACCCCACAAAAAATCGGAATAGATGGTCTCTATCTCAATCTGATAAAAGCCATCTATGAAAAACCAACAGCCAATATCATACTCAATGGTCAAAAAATGAAATCCTTCACACAAAAATCAAGAACAAGACAAGGATGTCCACTATCATCACTCCTCTTCAATACAGTTTTGGAAATATTAGCCACAGCA